ATGAGGCGAAGAAACCGATATCCCATACTTACTGCCAGCGTTATAGCCCTTGACCTCTTTGCATAATCTTGTTCACGATCTACAGACCAAAGTTATTATCCGATTGACTTTAATCTTCAGACGACGAACCTTATTGATTTTTAAGAGTTTCTGATAATTATTGCTAGAGTTATGGCCCTTCACGACTCTTATAAATGTTATGGATGCTCTCAAGACCAAAATTGTCATCCGATTGACTTTAAATTTATACACAGTATTTAAGGTTGTGAGACGACAAAATCTAGAAGCCAAACAAACTCTAATGATTTCATTACAGACAAAAGAAAAAATATGCGACACCCCTTGTTGACTGCTGTGGGCGCATGTTTCATTGTCTGTCAACCTATTATATGGCGCAGAAAAGTTTGGAAAATAGGGTTTGCACCTGAGGAGAGGACTTGTGAAAATGATGGATAATTTCAGGTTTGAGGCTGAATTTGCGATATTGGCGTATTATGATATTTTGATATGAACATAATAAAAATTTGAAGGAAGGAATACGAATTTATTCGCGGACCCCTAACCAATCTCACTGCTGCTGCTACAGAGAAAGCCCTATCACCACACGATATGGAATTTGTTGTTGTATATTTGACGACCTGGTTGTTCTTTGATGGGATTTTATTTGAATCAGGTCCTGAAGATAGCTCGGTGCTGTGGCATGAAGGTACTTGTATGTCAACAGTAAAATCTTAAATTCTACACGTTTCCTCACAGGTAGCCAATGAAGCTCCCTAAGAATTTGTGAAATATGATCATAAAGTTTGGTTTTAGTAATAATTCGTGCGGCTGTGTTTTGAATCTTCTGTAGACGATTTAATGAAGGTGTTGGGAGACCGTGAAGTAGGGAGTTACAATAGTCCATTGAAAAGAGTTTTGGTTGAATCCATTTATAACTACATTTTGATTCGTATTATTAGATCTTAAGATTGTTTAACCACTTATATAATAAAATGTTTGTGATATCTGTTGTTAGTTTTATGTGTATTGATATATTTGTATGATAGATGTTTAGTTTGTCTCGTAAAGATCGTCATATGTTTGGCAATCTGATTAAAATACAGACCTATTTCGTTTCGTTTTTTTTTTACACTTTCGATGGCCTACACTACATGAAGATCTGACCGGTTGTACTGGAAGGTCGCGTCATGGATCGTACAAGCGGCTTTTGACCCTATAACGTCAGACGTTGATTAATCAATCAGCATTGACATTTCTAGTGGTTTACCCACAGTTCCGTGCATCGCACGCCAAGAACTCGCCGTGACAGACCGGTTCATTGGCTAATCCCCCACTTCAACCAGAACGCCGGTAATAAAACAACTCTTCCAGATTCTATTGTAGTAAAGACAAGTAAAACGAAATTTTGAACTATAAAAAAACGAAACGAAATAGAATCTGTGTTTAATCAGATTGTATATATGTTTGGCACAATATAGCCTGGTTGATGACCACCACACACAATGGTCAAGATTGTTATGAGTGGACTTTAAACGAACTCTGCACCCCAACACCAACAATAACCTGACGACAACTATAAACATTAATATTTTACTACGAATAACTGGTAACAACTGACATAAACAATATATAAACATTCAAAAGACAAATAAGTTAAATGTCCTAACTCCGTCTTCTCAGTGAGATATTCCCTATTTATATTTCCATGCGTTTTTCCAGATAATTGACAAACAGACGGTAGAATGGAACCGATAAAAAATACCAAGTGGGACGCTGATGTGGCTAAAGATAGACCATGCTTTGGGTCCATAGAAGGCTAACTGTAATGGGTTGTGCTCTGAACGCTGTGTTTCAAATGTATTAATGGCCCAAAGCGCAAAATTTGAAATGAGCAGAAATGTGACGTATTCTCGCCCATCTTTTCTTCTCACGTGAAGAACATTAACTGCCGACATTTTTAAAGCTACCATCATAAACACTGCCTGCATGGACGCTTGGGTAATCATACATAAATTGGTTATAATTGTTAAAACGCCATCCAGTGTTGAGATGAAAAACATGGCGGCAACGATACTAAACATTCCAAATATAAAGAGACCAAACAAAGCGAATATGATGAGTGTCTGTTCCAAACCGCCTCGTTTTCGGGAATAATGGAGATCTTTCATTCTATGCGCAGCGAAGCAAACCGCAACCATGGAAACCAAGTACATAAACGTTTCTGATAAATGACCGAGGAGAGTTGCCGCCGTTCTCAGATGATCTTGGGTTACGAGAACGTAGAAGGCAACAAGGGAGACAACTCCAACGACAAACATGAGTATTCCCAGGAAGAGTCCCCGACTAGAACCAGTACAGTCGACACTCATCCTGGTCGTTCTAACACTCTCACCATCATATTCGTCATCAGAAACAGACTTCTCCCGCCGTGGACTTCTACCGTATCCCACATTTCTCCACATGATGTATAAAATGGCTGGAAAAAAATAAAAATAACACAGTTATATACTAGTTGTACTAGTCTCTGAGATCAATATCATAACAAATACCTACAATTACTCACGCACAGACTGGAATTTAAACATTACAGTCCACGATGTTTATTCTCCTGGAATTTGAGTGAAGTTTTTTTTTTAATCCCGAAAGGTCACGGCATTGTGTCCCAAGAACATTAGAAACTTCACAATCAGAATAGTATTTAATTAGGCTTCGTGAGATCCTAAGCTACATAAAGCATTAGGACACGTTTTTAGAAAGTAACCCCAGAAGATCCACAATGGTGCGTAGCAAAAACGGATATATGGGTCGCCATAAAAACAAAATGCCCCTTAATTGTTTAATATCATTTTCCGCAATTTTAAAAGCAAGAAGCAAAGATTGTGAGACCCAAGCTTGTATAGCTTAAACCCAAATATGGCACTTGGTGGTATTACACAGGATTCAGTGCTAAAAATTTATCCCATATATGTTTGGTCAGGATATGATTATTTTATAACTACCTGCACATATGAGACTGTATTCTATGGTACATGGATACAGATAGTCTGATGCCTTGTCTACAATACGTCCCATCAATGCATCCCAATGACAGGCTAACTCTGGTAAAAGATCATAACGTGCTTCATCTGTTGAGAGAAGGAGAGGACTGTCAACAAAACTGGAATAAATCGCTTGTGCGTAAAGTTCTATACCAGTGGGAAGAAATGTCAACTAAACCAGGTTATTTGGCGAATAACGGGGTAATTAATTCGTGCCGGGATACAGTTATTTACAGTGCTACACACAACCCAGATATGGGAAAATTCCAGCAACATGACTGACTACTCAGTGTTAGTTGTTATCTGTAATCAACAGTCATTATCGATTACTGGAAACGACTATTTAACTACCATCGCTGATACCATATCCACCTCTGTTTTTAAAAGAATTTTAACTTCGTGACCTTATCGAAGAAGATTGGATTTTAATATTGGTCTATGACTGGGTTGGGTTTATATAATAATGGCTACAGTAGCAAAGCTGTCATGACAGCTGTTGAGATCTTTCTGAAACTCAACTTTTCCAACTTTTCAGTAGGACTGTTTAGCAGTGGGAAGCAATCCGCGAGTTCAATTATTGTGCGTTTGATATAACCCATAACAATTTGCATTGCATACACTTATATCAAAGATCAAACTTATTTTCTTAAAACAGCAAATATACACACACCGTTTATCAGAGCTGGGTCTGTGATAGAGTTATTATTAGAATCATATATTGGATGTTGTGCAAGTTGCTGGGCCAGCTGCTGTCTCTCTGACTTCCTGATTACCTGCAGAGTTTCCACCACAATACCACGAACCCAGACACATATGTTTGTCCCACTCATATGCATCAAACCAAACCTGGCTAATGACCGGTAACGATGGATGCACATCTGTAATATTATAATTAATGTAAAATATAGATGGATATACCTCTGAAATATTATTGTTACAATAAACTATTAATAGATCTGTAATATTATTGTAACTATAAACTATAATATACTGATCTGTAATATTTTTGTTACTATAAACTATATATTGATCTGTAATATTATTTTTACAATAAACTATGATATATTGATTTTTGATATTATTGTTACTATCTATAAACTATATATTGATATGCAATATTATTGTTACTATAAACTATATAGTGTTCTGTAATGTTATTGTTACATAAGACAGAATATTTTAGTCGAAGTAAAAATAAATAGAACAGCTTCTCTTAGAGTTGAGAAGATGAGATGTGAAGACGAAGTATAAAGGCCAAGTATTAAATAGGGCAGAGTTAGAAGAGAAAACGTAGTATTAAATAAGGAAGCTTACCTTTGAGTTCTGAAAGACGAAGTAAAGCTGGGCAAACGTGAAGATGAGATGGAATACGGGTTTAATAGCTTGAACTAGGTCACTACATGGATCACCATGGTGATGAATCTCAAAATAATGACCAAAGTTTAAACCACTATGTATCATACTACCCACACCAAAAGCTGAAAAATAGTGACAGAATGTTACTATAGCAATGAAGAATGGAGAACCCAAGTTATTATTGTCTTTATTCGTATGTATTCCAGAATTTTATACTATCTTCATAACACATGCGTAAAATAGATAAAGTGGGAATTTTATAATAATATATTAAATTTGATAAATATGTCATGATGATCGAAATCGAACTAGATGACCATAAGAATATCTAAGTTGTAAATAAATGGGCTACAGATAAGTCCACAGACGAATTTAAATTAAGTTATCGATATTATACATTATCTATTTCAATAATGCACTATTTGATACATAAACAAGCCAAAACAGGGTTCAAATGATATCATTGCTGCGTGTTTAAACTTTCGACACATACTCTTTGGTAAGTCTCGAAATGTTGCAATTTTCCTTTAGAAGATATAAAAAAGTATAGATTACAATTCGAGGGGAAAAAAAACCCTACGAAACGAAATTGTAATCTAATTTTAATTACGATGGGCCTACACACATTAATATTAATAAAAAAACAAAACAGGTGTTACCTAGTGCTCCAAGTCTGAGGTAAAAACTACCTGTATGGTGATTATTGGTTTCGTCAAACGCGACCTTCCGTTTTCTCGTTCTGAATGACGTCGTACTAGCGTTCGGTGAATCTTTACAGGAGTTAACTGAACGACGGAACGACCACGTACGAGACAGGATGTTGAACGTCATACGGTTTCTACGCAACAGGTAGACGTAGACGTAGATGAGGAAGAGAATGCTGGTGATGTAAAGATATAGATAGAATATCTGAAATTAAATAATTTCAAGATTGGTAAGATCTCGTTAACCTGAGTTCCCTATTTGATCGAGGGAGCAGAAATCAAATCCACTTCTTGACGTGACCTGCAGATTCAAGCTAGTTAAGAAATACTTAGCAACGACTTTTAATATCAACCGTGACTCGCTTTCTATCAGTATTACCTGTCTATACAAGCAAGTCAAGAAAGATTATTTTCCTTAGTTAGCCTGGAGGTCGGGTGTTCGATCCCTGCATTGGCCGAGAAAGTTCATTCAGATTTTCCGGCGTGGTTCCCCCTTGTCAGTGATGCAGGACGGAGGGCCTGACAAGGAGGTCCCGTGTACACATTGGCGTGCACGTAAAAGATCCCTTGACAGTTGGAATTCGATGTAAGAGTAGGCCGTAATGACGCTGTCCGGGCAAAATTTCCCTCATAGCACACTGTATGACGTATGCCCATTTTCATTACCCCAGTTCGGAGCAGAACTGTAGGACGTTAAACCCCATTTCATTTCATTTTTATTTTTCTTAGCATAAGGTACAGTCTTCACCGTGATTAGATATACAATGGAACGAAAAATAAATTGAAACGAGAAGCATAGGCCTACACCATTTGTTCCTTGGACCCTACTTCATTAGTTTAATTTGACAGATTAGCTTCAACCCACGGTTGACGAACAGAAGGGACTAGAGTTTAAAGTCCTATTAGATGGTTATGTCTGCAATGCGACGGGGTGGAGTTTATGCCCAGGCAACTAAATGGGTGGTACGTCTATATCCACTGATATTGTCACGACAGCCATCATAAAAAATTTCCAGTAAAAAGTGACCCAACCTTGACCATGGACAATAGAGGATATCTCAAATGACGGGATGGGGGGGGGGGGGGAGGGACTACCTTAAAGAACCACCGCTGCGTATTTACACGATTTCTTGACAAGCTGGATATTTTACATATTATGTGGGGATGTTATAGACAATCCCACATTCTTATTGTAAAAGTAAGAACTGACCTCAAAGAAATAAGGTTTTGTTGGATCTGAGAACGTTTCAGCGATTGGTAGGACAAATCCTAACACGACTAGAGCAATACCATACAAACCGCTCAAACCCACGAACAACTTATCCCTGAAATAAACGTCAATAAACAAACAATAAAATTACAAAAATTGTAACATAAAGGACCACAGGGGACAGACACAGGATAAACAAAAATAACAATTGACGATTAACACGGTGATTCTTAAATACTGCAGAAAGAGGACTGCGGGTTTACTTTAAAAGGTTTAAAACAGTGCACTGTATATCTGTATACCATAATCGCCAAATATCACCCTTACTATCCGACAACGTTTCTAAGTCTAAACTTGTCCAATACTTTATAAATTGTCGTCCCGTAGTCTGTACCCCGCGATAATGTGTAGCAGGCGCATAATGGGTGAAGTTGTGCGTTGGTTATTAAAGACACACTGATCATGATTTTAATATGATCGGGGTACAATATAAATTACATTGTCGATTCTAAAGGGTTGTCCTATACAAAAATCAGAAATAACAAATCACAATTAGAACAACCACAAAAGAAACACAAATACAAAATCTACAAATTCCAAAATCCCAATTACAAAACCCACAATTAGCAAACCCTACAGAAGTAAATTGCTTACTTCAAAGGTCCAACGAGGATTTTCTTTTGTTGAAAGGTCAAACTTCGTTTATTATCTGGCATAAAAACTTCATCGGAGAAGACACTGTTAGTTTTCAGCAATTTCCTACCTAAAATAATCACAAAACATGGCTAAAAATATTTAAACCTCAACTGATTGCAAAAATGTTCCAGACTCGTTATACTGTGTTATCTAAGGTTTAGCACAGGTCATCTATGGGGGATCAAGAAAGGATTCAGACTATAAAATCATTTGTTTTCGGTTACAATGACGGTCCTCCTTTTTCTCTCTCTTCACTTAAAAAGAAAAGAAATAGGTGTGTATTATTATACTGCATGAACACGGGGTTAGAAAGGGGTCTGTGATACAATACTTCACATTCAACAAAAGAGGAATTATATCACATTCAACAAAAGAGGAATTATATCACATCTCAAAGTTCATCGGGTCAACATATAACAAACCTCAAACTTCAACTATTTGTTTCCCCAGAAAATCTACCTATAATCTACTAAACCGATTTAGGTATGAAGATGAGCATTAGTCCGTACATTCTTTTGAGACTGGATACCATTATTCAAAGCCCGACATCGGTCTGGTATAAATATATTGATTCTTGTATAGCCAGCTGTTAAGCAAACATTTATCCACCATTAAAACAGTATCTTAAAGCGGAAATGGAATGAAATGAAATGAGGTTTAACGTCCTACTGTTCTGCACCTAACCTGGGCTAATGAAGACGGGCATACGCCATACAGTGTGCTATGAGGGAAATTTTGCCCGGGCAGCGGCGCTACGACCTACTCTTATATCGAATTCCAACTGCCAAGGGATCTTTTACGTGCACGCCAATGTGTACACGGGACCTCGGTTTTTCGTCCCATCCGAACGACTAGACAGCTGTCATTGTCAGGCCCTCCATCCTGCATCACTGACAAGGGGAAACCACGCAGGAAAATCTGAATGAACTTTCTCGGCCAATGCAGGGATCGAACACCCGACCTCCAGGCTAGCGAGCCAGCGTCTTACCCACTTAGCCACGTGATCCCCGCAAAGACTGCGAGGCAAAATAATTTGTCATCATTGATGAGACTAATAGCAATTCTAACTGTTTACAATATTGTTCATCTCTCTCCCATAATGTTAATTAGAGCCTACTGTACACAGTACTTGGGAAAAATTGAGGCTTGTAAGATCCAGTAAGTTTGTAGATTGCCATAATAACGTAGTGCTTTAAATCCACCCAAAGACGGACGTATTATTTTGTTATAAATTACAGTAGAATTTGTACGAGCAGCACTTCCTTCTCAGCGGCATCTCCTTACTTTAAATTTCATATAATAACACAACTTCTACTTGAAAGAGTCGTCTAGTCTAGTAAAATGAAACATGTATTTTAAAAAATTCTTTGTCTGAAAACAATCATTTTTAAAATCTTACAGCACTTAATAGAGTTATTAAGTTACATAGAAAGTTAAAAGTTTAAAGAGTACATTAAACTATATTATACATAAAGGAACATTTATCAATAAATCTAACTTAATTTATTCAACCATGACTGTGTACGTAAAATCACTTTTGGCAGTGGGAAATCAAAGAAGAGTGAGCGGAAACGCCACATATCGGATAAAATTATAAAGAGGCCAGAAATTACACTTTACGATTCTTGAAACAATGCACGGGGCATGAAAGATGGGAAAATTATACACTGGTCTTCAAAGGGACGTGAAAGTATACACCGAATTTTAACTTGGAACTTTGTTTGTTGCAAAGGTGTTGGAAATTTTAAAAATTTCGTTAGTGGACAAGATTTACATTACTCTATTGCAGAAATACCGTATCTTTGGAAATACAAGGATAATTATTGTTGACAGGGAAGGAAAAGTCAGAGCAATCAATATAAATTCGGTAATCGGACACAACTAATTGTCGAAAGACATCGATAATAAGTAGGAAGTTTAACATCCAGGTGGTCTTAACCTTGGTACCACAAAGAGCCCAACTTATTACCTGATACAAATTTGTGAGGGAGTTGATCATGTTGACATTGTGAAAGGAATGTAGGTCATATGTAGGTGATTTACCTATGGCATCTCTGTTTAATCTCCTGATCTTTCCATCCCAAAATATTCAATATTCACCAAACCTAACAGAAAATTTAAATTATATCCGCAATAATCGAATCTAGGCTAACTAGCCAAAGAGGTCAAGCAAAAGAGAGGAAATCGAATAAGAGAACCATTTACCACCATTAGTCCATGAAATATAATAGATGAACCGATTTCTTAGACAATCGCCCCCCTCCCCCCAAAAAAATCAAAGAATTAATGAACAGCTGATGAACTAACCTGGTTTAATCTGTTTCTTGTTTTCCATCGGTTCTGTTGGACAAGTTTCTGTTGACGGTCGCGTCGACACTTCGTCATCAGCATCACTTGACGATGAAAGCCGAAATTCCGGCGGATCTTCTCGCACCGACTCCGTTTCGGCGTTTACGTCGATGTCAACGTCTGCGCCTGATTTACCGAAGAATTGTAAGTGGCAATGTCGTCTCTTCGAGAGAAATTTTTCCAAAAGATCACAATTGTTGAAATCGCCGTTCCTCAGTTTCCGAAGGTTGCTTTCGGAGTCGGACCAGCTAATACTACGTTTAAACTTGCGTCCACTGTCAGTCGCAGTGTTATTACTGACAACCGTTGTTGATGTGGTCATCTGCTGTGGGACATACTCCTGGTCGGCTGCCATTTCCCCGAGATTTTTGTGTATTTCCGTATTTGTGTATTTATGGCTTCCTCCCACCACTGGTCTCATCTTACAATGACAAATGTCTGCCAGGCGCAAACAACATAAATTATGAAGTGGTTGATAGTTTGTTCAGTCAAGTAAATCGCACATAGAATCTGATAGAGTAAAATTACATCTCAACACACAATACCAACTATAAAAGATACATGTAACTTTATAAAGGCGATATATTATACTATGTTTAAAGGGATATTATCACTTACAATGACCGGCTAAAATGTACTCATAATATAAAGGAGACATGTATTATCACTTACAATAACCAGCTAAAATATACTCATAATATAAAGGAGACATATTCTACAATAATTAAAGCGGTATACTCACTTAAAAAAACAGCTACAATATACTCATAATATAAAGGAGACATATTATACTATGTTTAAAGTGACATTATCACTCCCCATAATAAACTAATAATATACTCATATATAACTCTATATAAAGTTGTAGTATCACGTTAGCACTTACAATAACCAGCTAAAAATATACCCAAAAGCGATGTATAACTCTATATTTAATGTGGTATTATCAATTCCAATAACCAGTTAAAAATATACTCATAATATAAAGGCGATATACTATAAATCTAAAATATATACCGGTACTTATAATACAAAAGTTATGATATTATTCTATGTTTAATGTGTTATTAAAACTTACAATTAGCAGCTAAAAAATATACTTACAATATAAAAGTGATGATATTATTCTATATTTAAAGTCTCATTATCACTTACAATAACCAGTTATAAAAATAAAGGTAACACGTAATAATGTTATATAAGTAACATTGTCACTTACAATAACGGCGGATACAAATGTAACATAAATATAAAGCATGTATCAGATGACTTAAAGTTGGCCCTAATTTGGATTTCCACATACATATATATCTTTCAATATGTTTTGTCTTGTGTTTTTTCTCTTTAATTCCAGGTATAATCTTCTCATATCCTGGTATAATCTCTTTAAGTATTGATATAGTCTTCTTGGGATAGCATTTTCAAATCTTGATAGCCTCGTCAAGTCTTGGTATAATCATCGACCTTATAATACAAATCTCTTCAAGTCATGATATAGTCTCTCCAGGTCTCTTCGTGCCTTGAAATAATCTCACGAAGTCTTGATATAGTCTCTTAAAGTCTTTGTATAATCTCATCAAGTCCTGGTATAGCCTCATCAAGTTTTGGTAGAATCTCTTCAGGTACTGGTATAACCTCGTCAAGCCCTGTTATAGTTTCCATAAGTCTAGGTATAGTCTCTTTAAGTCATGGTATAATCGCTCCAAGTCATGGTATAGTCTCTCAACTCCTGGTATAATCTCTCCAGGTCTCGGTATAGTCTTCCCAAGTCTTGGTATAATGTCTTCAGGTCTCGCAATATCTTGGTATAATATCGTCTAGTCTTACTATAGCATCCATACCGATGCCGTGAAGCAAGTCTAATGGATATAACTTTCTGTGGAGGTATCCCTAACATTTTACTAAAGGCCTGCGCACACCAAAAATCTTTCTCGCCGACGAATTATACACCCCATCAAATTATCACAAGGTCATCGTATTTGTCGCTGGTGTAACCTAGCCGGGCATACGGCATGAAGAGAAAGTCCACTTGACAATTGACCCCACTGTCCGGGTAAACTTCCCTCCCAAGCATCGCACATGGCATTATAGAAAATTAAACTTATGGTAATATCAAAATGATCGTGTTGGTGATATGAAATGAAATAGGGTTTAACGTACTACTTTTCTGTTCCATTCAAACTAATAAAGACGGGCATACGCCATGCAGCGTGTTATGAGGTGAAGTTTGCCCCGACAGCTGCTCTACAGCCTACTCTTATTGCGTTCTTTTACGTGCACGCCAATGAACTTTCTCGGCCAACTCGATACATCTAGGATAGCGAGCCAGCACATACCTCACCGAGTCACTACAGCTCCAGTTCGTGATATGAACAGAGTATTTCTTTAATTCTACAACTCACCTATTATCTTATCTAATGTAGGCTTTTGTCTAAATGTTTATCGTTTTATCACAATCCCAACAAATGTTTCGGAAGTAGAGAAACAAACCACACAAATCAAAATAACACACCAGATAAACCCATTTCGAAATCGTTTCAAGCATTTTATAAAGAACACATAATATAAATAACTTCCAAACAACACGGAGCCACTATGGCTCGATGCATACGGCGCTGGCTCATTAACCAGAAGCGTTGAGCTTGGCAAGGAAAAACGTCTAGTAATTCGGATGGGACATAAATCCGAGGTAGAAAACATTACAGTTGGAATTCTGTGAAGAGAAGGCAGATACGTCGATGTCCAAGCTATATTTCTCTAATAGCAGACTGCATGGTGCACGCCCATCTGGATTATCCCGGTTGGTGCACAAAAGCAAGAATTTAAACATTTCCATATAAGATCGATATAAATGTATTAGCTGATAAATTAATATAACAAATATAATTCTATTGAAATAAGAGAAACAAGCTGATCTAGAAATCAACCATACTAGATTTATGACAAAAGTCCATTAAGGGCGGTGACATTGATTCATTGGCTACGTCTTATTGAAGGAAAAGTAAACGTCCTCTAGTTGATATTTTTTCTGGTGTAGAAGTCACATCAAGATAAGTTTATGCTGGTCATTACTTGTCTAAATCAAAATGATTCTTTTAAAGATACATTATGGGAGATTCGGTAACGAGTTGGCAGTTCTCACTATAAAAGTTAAAAACTAGATAATGTAAAGGCAATTTGGTGAAAATTTCATTCAAATTGGTCCACTATGAACCGAGAACTAAGCGACTGAAATTCCCATAAGCCTCGGTCATCATTACTAAAGTCAGTACGATAAACAGCATAGTCTCGATTATCCATTTAATCGTTTAATAGAGAAGGAAAGTTATGCAGTAAATCGGCTTACAATCCACTAAAGATCGCAGGCTAGCGCTGCCATCTAGAGTTGATTATGGCCTGGATGGGTTAATTAATGTCTAATTAATAATTTAGATAACATTTCAGGCCTAAAGAAAGACCTGAAATAGGCAGATTTAGCTCTTGCATAATGCATGTTTAAGTGATTAAAACCGAAACTGATGTGGACAAAACAAAACATGAGCGTAGCCAACTAGCATACTCGTGACAAACTCGAAAAGTTCTGGAATTGTCATATCGAGGGTTTAGAACATAATTGTGATAAGTCACAATGGCTGATATATTGACTTATCACAATTATGTTCTATACCCTCGATATGTATGGAATTATATGTTAAAATGCACGATAAATCTATAATCTGCAGAGCGTAGATCTATAAAGCGGTGGACACACTAGTTGAATGATTCGGTCAATTCAATCGGCGTCGAAATTCGCCTAGCGTGTCCAATATCATTCGGACGAATTTCTATTCGACCGAATGATTCACCCGAATCAAACATGTTTGATATAATATTCGGCCGAATTATATTTGCCTTATTGTGTCCGCTTCGCCGAAGCATTCGCCCGATTGTAGAATTCATTAGCCAATCACCACTCACCATCCTCTCATATCGAGAAGTTACGTGAATGTTTGAAGACATTCTCGCCGCCATGATTAATCATGTGACGTGAAAGTGATGCAATCGACTGATGAATCGGACGAAGGCCTCACCTAGCGTGTCCATCCATTCTGCCGAATAAAATTCGGCGCTGATTGATTCGGCCGAATGATTCGGTTAAGGTGTCCACCGCTTAAGGACCAGTAATCGAGCATGACGTCATGTCGATCGTACTTTATCGTAATAGAAAGAATTTTTTCGAAGATTCCCCCCGCCCCGCCCCCCCCCCCCCCCAAGAAAAACAACAAGATGAGTATTGTTAATGCTGGTCCACATACGTCGTATGTTGTCCATGGGACAGTCAAAATGTTTACAGCTCAAAATGAATTATGTATATTATCACAATTATTAAACAACATACAAAGTGTTCTTTTTGCATGAAGGTTTATTAGATGCTAGAATTCCCATCTGAATCGAATTAAATATACCAGTTATTATTATTATTACAACATATTTATAGTGCGCCCTTTTTAGCAACATGTTCAGGGGCACTTTACAAAGTGACAATATAATCATAAATAAACAAGATTATTTGTGGCAAATAATAAACCTCTATCGAATTTTCAGTTAAAACACTGTCAACTGTATTTTATGCATTGAAAACTAAGGGGACGAATTCAGTTTTTTTATTTGTATGTGTCCAAAAGGGATCTAAATAAACTGTACAATATACAAATCTAGTATATTTACAATTATCACAGAAATTTAATAGAGATAATTATATACAACTTCACAATGTACGTAGTTACATAGTCTATACATATTAACAGTGATAAATTACGGGACAACAGATACTAAGCTTTATGACAATATTGTTAAAACAGATCTATATTTTGTTTCGTTTTTTTTTATACCCTCAGCCTCGTTTATACGACTAGATTACGCGAGTAAACTTGGCTGTATGAACGTATTTACTTATGTGCAAAGTTTAGTCCTGCATGCAAATTTGCACCCAGTCTGGACTACGTGCAAATTTACTACAATGAGTAAAACTATTTTTTACTACGACCTGTGCAAATTTGGCAATGTTCCAAGACAATATAGTCAAACCATTCTAATGACCTTGGTTTACTCCTTTGAGAGAGCCAGAACAAGACCTATTTCACCTATACCTAGCATATAAAGAACCTTTCCATGACAACTGCAAAAAGGAATGACTTCTATTGTTCACTACAGATATACTCATTTTAGTAAAAGTGTGTATGAACGCACTGTAAAAATATTTTTGCACACGTGTATATATAATTTGCATACGTGAGCAAATTTGCATATATATGGCCTGCACTAGTGCAAACAAGTAAAACGAAATTTTGAACTATAATCAGATTGGATTACCAACCACGTTTTTGTTAACAGGTTTATATAAAATAATATTTAATGCCTTTATGATTTTCGCTGTTTGATATAATATATCAACTTTCT